TGCAGAGCAGAGAGAAATTGTTACCTGCATGTTTTCTGAGGCCAGGTACTCCCTAATGGACACAGGATTTCTATCCTTGTTTGAATCAAAGCAGAAACAGCAATTTGATTCTCAGTTTTTTCAAATTTTCTAAGTGCAACTTTATCCTGAAGGGTGAAAAGTTAGCTCCTCCTAGCTTGAGATCTCCTGCACGTGCCTCCAAAATTTAGTCTGAGGCCAGAGAAGGAGATGATATTTAGCTGGTTAGAAAGGACAAAGCCTGACTCTGTCACTCTTGGAAGAATAGCCAGCTACAGACAAATATTTTTATTTGTGCTCATGACATTGAATCTGAGTCACTGAGACAAATGTAATGCAAAAGCTTAACTTCTACAAATACATCCTCTACATTCACTTTTCAGAGCATGAGTATGTCTCTGAAAGAAAAAGGCTTAGAACTGTGCTTTCCCATGCAGGGAATTGTTACTAGGCTAGAACAGGGCTGCAGGGGTGATAGTCCAGATGTGTGGAACAAGTGCTCACTGGGATGAGGCCGAAGAAGATCATAAAAGGTGACTCCAGCTAGTGAAGTGACTCCTCCAGCTCAGAGGCTTTGGCACTCTCAGTCTTGCACTCAGTCCTTGCTGAATACGTATCTCTTTAGACATTAAAGCTCCCATGTGTGTTTTAAGCCTACTTAAGAAGAAAACTATAGTACTAAGGGTTTGGGAGGGGTCATGTAACAGTAGCCCTGAAGAATAAAATTAACAACCCATTTTTTCAGAAGCCATGAGTCTGAAGTAATTAAAAGAAATCACTAGACCCTGAAAAAACCCCACACCTTATTTCTTGATTTTGGTATTTGCAGACTTAAGCTAATGCAAGTGCCACTATACACTGTCAGACACTCAGATTTGTCAGTATTCTTAAAATGCATATAAATACTTTAGTTTAAAGCATAATGATTTAATACAGATAAATTTTCTGTCTTGTATATCTGTTTTGTAGTTACAGCAGATATTTTGCCATATGCTACTTTTCAGACAAGACCGTATATTAGCAGGAGGCAAAGTTTCCCATTAAAGAACATAACTCCAAACCCTAGTAAAAATAATTTTAGAAAATCCACAAGAATTTTAGTTCACGGCTTTCTTATTATACTAATAAATGTATTCATATCCACTCTGTATGAAGCAACATTATTTATTGCATACCTTCTTCCAAAGGAGAACTTGAATATTTGTGGAGAAGTACAATATATCATAAATTTTCTTGTAACTAACGTTAAAAATGAAAAACAACTGCTTTGTATTAAAGAATTACCCACTGCCAACCAATGAATTTGAAAAAAACCATCAAAATCACTTAAAGTGGATCTTGACTGGTATGCTTCGGTTGAATTTTGTCCCAGGATTAATGTCCACCATCTTTAGATTATTTAGAAGTGATGAAAAGATAAATTTCTATTCCCATCACTGTATACAACTACCAAAAATGTCTCAGTCTATTGAATTTAGTATGCCAGGCTCCCAAATGACTGGTTTGGAGCAGGTGAAAACAAAATTCTGTTCAAGGAATTTAAATTTCTTTGCAGACACATTGGGCATTGTATTTCCAGATCAAAAGTGAACTTTAGCATAACAAAATCTATCAGTTCCTATCCTGGAACACAGCTGAATCACACTAGCATCATTTCAGAGTTAAAACTCAGCTTCCTACAACTCAGATATGGTATCCTTTCAGGAGAAGGAATAAGTAGAGAAAGCTCAGAATTGTACAAAAGAATGATTGTACAATGTCTTAAAATGACAGGACTGTGTATTACAGTCTCAATTAAATCCTGATTTTTAAGAGGGTCAGGTGCTTGAGTAGGGAAGGTTATCTCTGAAGGGGGAAGTAACAAGCTGGGATCACTTAGCCAGGCTTCAGAGACTCCTCCACAGCAGAGGCATCAGCACACAAAACCATGGTCACTTCACCACGCTGAAGGATAATATTCACTTACAACTGGAAATATTTACTGATAAGAACTGGGTACCCTGGATTATTCAGATTCTAAAATGAAGATTTTTGGACAGTTGGAGTTTTTGCTCCGTATACCACCTTTTACTCTGATTTTCAGAAAGACAAATTATAAACAAAGTTTCTGAAGAACTCTCAGAATTCATTGAAACACTGGAAGGAATCTTTTTAAGAATAATTTTTAAAAAGAGCAAAAAATTTGAACTGAGAATTTGGGCTGCAATTATCCTCTTGAAACTCAATTCCACTGGCATCTTGCCTCAAAGACAAGCAAATCACAACATCATTCAGTGACTGAAACCCGTCTGCCATCAATCCACACAACTGCCTTATCCTTCACATGGACCTGCTCATCTTGTCAAGTGAAGAAAAATCTCATTACCAGTTTTAGCACCCCGGAGCCCTTCCAGTTCTCAAAGTAATATTCCAAACAGCTCAAGTAGAGCACAGTAACAGAGAGCTCAGCAGCCAACCCACTGTAATGCTATGAAAAAGCAGAACTTTGGATGATAGAGGCCACAAATTTATAAAATCCTTTTGAGGCCATCCATACCATAATATGAAACTCAAATGATTACTTCTCCCACCTGTTTCTTACAGGTTTGGTTTTTTCAAGAAGAAGAAACAAAAGGCTAGGCAGTTACCTCACACTTTAAATCTGTATGTTAAAAAAAATATTTTGTATTCCTTTAGTCAACACAACATCCTGCAGAATGGGCTGGAAATAAATACAAACAGCTCTCAAATCCTGCTTTACCTGTGTGCATTACATGTACAGGAGCACAGAGGTGTCTTTGGAGTGGAGATACACCTGATTTCCTACTAACCAGTCCATGAACAGCATCAGAAGAAGGAAATCATAGCCTATAATTATGCTGTGCAAGCTACATATTTCCACTGTTTAAGGGAAAATCTTCTGGGCAATAAATGCTAACTGACTGGAATCTGATATACCTAGTATTAAATGTATGCATTTCTAAAACCTCATAATAATTAATAATTACTCATATAATTTCAATACAGTCTGTAAATTAGATGGACATCAAATATATGCAAAGAACAACTTGTCCACAAGCTTGGGAGAACCTGCACCTAGGAAAACTGCTGAGTACCTGCTTTCAATGCTTCTGATGCTTATAAAAACAGCCTATAATACATTTTTTAAATTGATGTTCAAAATCATTATGGCAAATGTCCTAAAGACACCTGTTAGTTGAAGTGTAGGGGCAGAGCAAAATGTTGATTTCAATTTGCAAAAGAAGTGTTAATCTTGAGTATAAATACAATTGAGGAAAAATTCAAAGACAGCAAAAAAGTGGGAAAAGGGCAAAATGGAGACCAAAAATCACAAGAAGTGAGAGAAAGGAGGAATAAAAGTTTCAAATTTCTATTTCTCAACAACATATGATTAATAAGATGTAAAAACATTTCCAAATATTAAGTGGCCCATTTGCAAACAAACAGTCTTCTAGAAATCTGAATTTTATTCTTATTAAGATACAGTACATCTGTCTCAGAGATTTACACAAAGTCTGGAAAAGGAGGTGAAGGAGACACAGTGGGGACCTGTGGTCCCCATAGGAAGTCACAGCATTTTCCCATTGAGAAACACTGAAAGCATGGGTTATCTTTATCCAAATAATTCAGCATGTGCTTAACCCTTAACATAGGTGCCATTTCAATGCCATTTGGTAAATAATTACACCATTATTAGCAGTGCCAAACTCTAGATTACACGCTGAATCAAGGCTCTTGCAAGCAAATGAATTTGAATCACATTCTCTAAACCAATTCCCACCACTAACTTTTTTCTTAGCAAAATCAAAGATGAGGACTCAATCCAAATATCTGGAAAGTAATGTGTCAACTTACTTTTATAGTTCAAATTAGAAGTATGCATCATGTTTTTATGACATGATGCTAAATTTAAGTCTGTCCAAAATAAAACAAGAATGACCCTAATATTACACAGCTGTGGTATCTCTCTAAAGAATTACTGTTTACATATTAAATTAGTTGTCTGAATTTTTAAAAGAAAAGTCTTTTGCATTATTTCACAGCTGAGCTATGAAATGAACCATACCAAGCCTTGCAGGCACTCGTTTAGCAATAACATAATTTTATTTCTAAATGTGTGTGCAAAAGACTCTCTAGTCCAGTTTATACTGAAGCTTTACCTACATAATCACATCAACCAGAAATGCAAACGTGTTCTGACTGGAGACAAGCTCTCATTAGATTATGTTGCATTATAAAAAATTCCTCACAGTTCCTAATGAAACACTTGCCATCTAGCAATGTAAGGCGATTAAGTAAACAGAGCTGTGGCATGACAACATGTGGTAAAATGCCATGGGGAAAGGGCTTAATTGCAGGAGCTTGCACTAAATGCCGAGCTCCAAGAGAGCTGATCAGAATCCAAAGTGATAGGAGAAGAAATGGAGCACTCTTAAGAATTTCTGGACTGTACATCTAATTACTTGTGGATGGAAGCTAATGAAGTCCAAAAAACACAAAACAAAGCAGAAAACTCCACAGTGTGCCTATGTATGTGTGCTTGTAATTTTTTTAACCCATATAAAATTCACATCCCAAGGTTGCACATAGTGTGTGTAAGGTAAGGTCATAAGCATGTATTTTCACAGCTGTTACCATTCAGATCTCCTGTTTGCATATGCAAATGTTGAAGGGCTGATGTGATGAAAATCTGCACCCAAATAAATAAACATAGGCTGAGCCCTGCTCGTCAGGCACTGTGTTTGGATGTAGCAGTTCTCATCACCCTCGGGTGTGCACTGGCTCACGGCAGGGGACACTCTTGGTTTCCTGGCAGAAAACACACAAGTTGATGCCTTCCCATCCTGGTCTTCATGCACAGGAGGTTTGTGTAGGCATGCTGAAGCTTTGATGTGGAATTTTCCTAACACTTGGTCCCCCTTCCCAAAGTGATACAGATGCCAAGAGGACCTCCAATACTATGAGCCCTGATCACTTCGTGCTTTGAAATATTTGAACATTTTCTTCATCAGAAAAGAAGAACCTTCTCATTTTCAAGTCATTTGATGACTTGAAAACTTGAGAGTTTATTGATTTCACCAACAAACTTTGTCCTAGCTCAGCAAAACATCAGAGCATCTGCAATTTTATGAAACCTTATGGAACATGTTTCCCAAATGACCACTCAGCTACTGTAGATGCTACATACCAGCAGCCAGGCTCTGAGTTTGTTTTCCCTGAAATGTAGAGACAGACTTGGCCCTTGATATGTGCACATACTAGACAGCAGTAAAGGAAACTGCTCTTTGTGAAATAAGACGGCTTGAGAGTGATGTTTAAAAAATAAAGAGGCACTGTGGTTTTGGAGGCTGTTATCCTCTTAACTTTGGATAATGACAAGTTGGAAAACCTGCTTCACCTGCCTGTCCTGCTGAGAGTCCCCCTCTGCATCTCCAGCCAGAGTAAGCTGAAGGGTTTTCAAGCACTGGCTGTAAAAAACATCTGAACAGGATCTGTGAAAGTGTCCCCAAAAGATGTGTGGACAGACCACCCAGGCTAAACTTGTAATGCCTGGGCTCCTCTAACTGCTCTTCCAATTGCCCCAGACACGGCTGAGTTTCCACCGAGGAGTAAGGTTTACGTTGTCTGAGCTCTGGTTATTTCTAAGCATACCCTGAGCAAATAAAACATGCCATAAGCTAAACAATTAGCCTTCCAAGAAAAATGGTACAGGCCAAACAGATAGTGCAGTGTAGTTTCTGATCTGCCTATGAAGTGGGCTGCAGCTGCAAATCGCTTCACTGAAGTGAAAATAGATTAACTGCATACATAAACTGCCTGATCCTTCTGTAAAACTGAGCAGGGGATTTGTGGGATCTGTAATCCTGGTATTCAGGTCTTTCCTTGTGCTCAGCAGAGATGTCTGAATCTGTTTCAGGCATGTCACACAGTTATTTTCAGCTGACTCGTTCAATCCTGGAGACTTAAAAAAATGTCTTTGCAACAATATTCAGTTACTCTAGAAATTAACAATTAATAACAGTTTTAGGTAAGTGCCTATAGATATCCCATTCCTCCTGGAAGGGAATATTTACAATGCAGTATATACAATATTACATCCAATGTGCAGATTATATTACTGTGACATCACTATTTTCTGAAAATGTCCCTTTTTCTATTCAATTTGGAGGTGTCATCCATAAATTAAAACTGCCAATACTACGTAAAAATACATATTTTTGTATTTTTGCCATCCCTGTTTTGATGTTAAAAATATAGATCACTCTATATAGGATGCAATGTCAATAATATACATGGTGTTTGTGTGTGTAGGCAAATAAACTCAAATATGGAAGCATATTTTTAAAGAAGTCACCAAAATAATGCTCTTGTCCTAGAAACTAGAATAGAACTTCGCAAATATTTCACTAACACTAACCAACCAGTCTTCAGATAAATCTAAGAGAATAAGTCAACATGACAAAACTTCAGATGGTAAAGGTGCTTCAGGAACCTATGGCTGGCAGCTCAAGGTCTGGAATCCAAAGATTCTCCTTCTTCTGATTCATCCCATCCTGCATGAAGGGAGCTAACACAGAGAGAGGCTCCACATAGAATCACATCCTTCAAGCTGGAAGACATTCTAAAACACACATTCTTATAGCCATAGATATTGTCACTGAAGCAGGGAATAGCATTAATAGTATTCTTGAGGAGAACTATCTCATCAGAATGGTTACATAAATCTTGCTACTATCAAGCTCTGTTACATATAATTAACCTGAAATAATTTTAAAAATCCAATTAAACCCAAAACATTTAAGTCATGTTCAACATATCTGTACTTTTAATTGAAGCTCTACTTTAATCATCCAAAATTCTCTCCTAGGCCTTCTAGAGAAAGCAAAACTGTCCATACAATAAAAATAGTTTCAATAAAAAAACATGTTTTCTTGAAGCCCAATTTTATGAAGCAAAGTATTAACTCCTGGAAAATTATAACCTAACCTGTTGCTATTGCATTAAAATGCAATTCATTAATATGTAGGAAATGAAGTTTATATTGTAAGTATATTATTTGACTGTTTAAATGCAAAATCAGCATTTGGGTAAGATTTTAATACTGCTTTTTGATTTCAAAAAATGTGTGTTTGTAAAACCAAGAACTACATTTGCAACCGATAATCTCCAGATTTTTCTTGCACTGTTACCTCTCAGAAATATTATGCTCTAATTGCAAAAGCAGTAAATAAAAATGTGCATGAAAAGCTTCAAATCTGAAGAAATAAGGGATTTCATGAGGAAATGACAGTTTTGAAAACATCTTTGTCACGTTATTTTGGTAAGTGTCACTTCCAGCTCACTGTCAAGAGAGGGAGCATAAATGCCAGCAAGGGAGAAAAAGGGAATGCAACATTTTAAAAGATATCATAGGAGATCTTAGACCTCCTGCCTATTTGCTAAAAATCTGTACCTCAGAGAAGGTAGTATTAGTCCATAATCTAACATCAATATTGTTTTGGCAAGTAATTAGGTCTCCATTCAGGAAATTAAATAAAGTTAAAATCTAGCTGTCACTTTGCATGTTGAAGCACGAACCTAACACTTCTAGAAGACAGAGATACCTAAATTATCAGCATGTGATTTGACTGAGGTATAAATCAGCCATTCTCTTGGGTTTTCCATAGGCATACAAAAGAACTTCTTTAAGCCAATTGCTTTTTCTTCACCATCAAACTGTCAGCTTTAGTCATTTTGTTACACAGAACAATTTTCTGATTTAAAAAATAATTGAAGATAAGCATGTTTCAGGTGTCCAGAATACTGTCCAGAATACTGTCATGCAAACATGTCCTTTGTTTATAGGGATATCAAATAAATAAAGGAATAAATAAACAAACTAATAAAAAAACCATAATAATCAGAGTATATATTTTTATGTCCTCTAGCAGCCAGGTCACGGAAAGAGCAAAACAAAATCGTATTTTCTCTCTATTCTCAGTTAATGTTGACAGGGTTAGGTAAATGATTGGTATTGAAACTTGCAGTAAATTATTCTGTGAGTACTATAAATGCAGTAGCAGGAAAGAAAGATACACAGCAACCAAGCAGATCTTCCAGCATCTTCCTCGATCAGTTACCATCATGAAGGAAAAGCAAATTATTTTTTGACCTAACAAACCTATTTGCCATTTATTGTAAATGAGGGAGTATTTCCTTCTCCCTCTCCTCCATGATGTTGCTGGCACACACAAACAGGACACTTTGTTATGAAAAAGGATTAATTTGCTTTTTTCCACCTCAGCCTGCCTCTCCCAACCCCTTCTGTGTGCTTTTGCCAAAGAGGCTTTTCCCCTCTCTGAATTCCCCCCTTCTGACAGGGCTGCAGTGCAGGAGTTATTTGATCAGTCACAGTCACAAGAGTTATTTGATGTGCCACGGATGTCGAAGCAAATATAAGTCCCTTTGCTTTGTTCTGGAAAATGTATGTGTCAGAAACAACAGCAAGATGGGGGATTCCACATATCCTGTAGCCTCCTATAGGTCATAGCCAAAATCCTTACTCCACAGGTTCTCAGCTGAAGTACCCCAGTAAGAAAAGTAATTACTTCTAACTGCCTGTGACATTTCAGATGATTGAAAAAAAAAAACCCAAAACTGAAGTATCTTTATTGCAAACTCCTTTATTACTTAATTGGATGCATTTCCTCATTCTCTGTATTTTCTCAGAAAACAAAACAAAACAAAACACTGTGAAAACTAAATTTTAAAAGCCAGCAGCTTCTTATCTGGAAGCCAAACCCAGTCTCTCTCAGATCTGCAACTTGGGCAAGGAAGCATCACACAGTCCAAAGGGAAAGTCACTGCAACTCCAGAGACAATCAAAGCCTGTACAAAATACTAAGGAGCTTCTCAAAAACTTTTGGGGCCTACCTAAACCAGAAATCATTTCAGATTATGAATAATATGTGATTTTTTTTTTTTTTCTCCTTACTGGGAAGATTTAGAAAGTCAAACACAGGAAAATTAATAAATAAAATTCCATGTGAAAGCACTGCTACTATATAGTACAGCAGGACTATATATACAGGCAGGAATCACAGGCATAGACATGAAAATATACACAGTAAAAAAGAAATCATGTTTAACTAAAATAAAACCTGCTTTTGGCTAAAACCTGTTTTTTTCCAAGGATGATACTGATGCCACAAGTCCATCTGCTTCCTGAAGGACTTGCATGTCAAAGTAAAAGTTAAAAAAAATCCCAACTCTGTGAAACTGGTACATATTTTGACTTGAAAATTCCTGGGCTAAACCAAAATCAGCACTTGCGCATTCAGATGTTTTTCAGCCCAGTTTCATATTTTTTAAACTATTTTTTTTTGGTTGTTCATTTGAACAATGTACAGGAATGGTGTATGTATTTACATTTAATTATCAGAAATGGCAAAGTATTAAAATATTTTCCCAGTTTAAGAACTCCTGTAGTAACTACGGCTAATAAAATCTTATTACTTGTGAAATGTAAGGTCAACAGCTCTAGTCTTAAACAGTTGCTCTCCATTTTCAGGCAAGTTTAATGAAAGTGAACATGTCAGTTCCTAAAATATAAATGGTCACCAAGAGACTACATCCGCAGAAAATATGTAGAGTTTCACACAGGGCAGAATCTGCTTTTAAACAGAGCTCTGCTGGGTTGGCTTCTACCATACACAACTTGTTGGATATGTTTAAAACAAACCAGCTGGGTCCATCTTGATTAATTATCATCTATACTACAGGACAATTAGAGATGCAACTTTCCCCTGGGTTGGCATCTTGATGTTTTTATGCACACACACCTTTTATGTTCAGAAAGTCAAGTTGCTGAAATACTCTGTCACTGCTGGTAGCATTTAATTTAATGGTTTTCTTTGCTTCTTCATCCAGCCTAACCTCTGAGGCCTACTATTTCACTCTTTTTGCTTATAATGTTTGCTAAACCATTTTGCAAATCTCCTGATACTATGTTTTTTAAAAAAAATTAATGCTAATTTATACAATTACTACTACTCAGCAGTCAATTTCTCAATAACAAGGTGCTTCCTTGTAACTGGAGCAGTTTATTCACCTGACCCAAAGATCATCGGAGGTCCCAGTTTCCAATAACCGACCTCAGTGGCAAAACCATTCAGAATTAATTTCCTACACACATGGCACCTGATAATACTCCTGATAATACTCTGCCAAGACCCGAGTTGAAGCAGTCCCACTCAAAATTCAGAGTTGTGAGGCAAAGGTCTCAACTCAGAGTATTGAAGAGGGAGGTGTTTGCAATGGACCCAGACCCATCCCTTAATTCATACAATGCACATTGGGCTTTGCTTTGATCCTGGCTCCCTAAAATAAACAAGGTTCAGGCAATTTCCTCCCATCTACCTGCCTCCCCTTCCTTCTCGATGGAAATTGTCTTCAAAAGCATTTGGAAGCCATTAGTCAGCCTCAAACAGACCTGGAAGAGCAGTGGAAAATGGCAGGCAATTAATTTCCCTTCAGTTTGGGAAATCAACAGGTGGGCAGAGGGGAGGCCCCTCTGTTCACACCCCACAAGAGTGAGATGATCCTGCCAGTGCTGGCCCTGCTGGGCAGATCCCACAGCTGCAGGACAGCTGTTCCTACTGCTCCTGCCTTTGAAGTAGCTGTGGAACTCCAAAGGGGTTCAGGAGCCAACAACAGAAATTTTGAGAAAACCCAGGGGTGTTTTTTTCCCCTGCTATCCACAAGACTCTCTCTTTTCCAACAGCTGTCGTGATTAAGGATGCTTTCTGAAGCTGGAGGTTATGGATCATACTGAGCACAAACAAGCACTTCATCTCCCCATGCCCACCATTCATCACAGTCATTCCAACGAGGGCTGTGTGCCCTCCTGTATGTGACATGCCAATCCATTCCCCGTTATTTCATTAGCTTACTTTATGTAGTCTCCTATAAATTCTATCAAGAACAAAGCAGGTTGTTAGAAGGAAAAACACCTTGTTTCTCACAACACATCCTACTTGCAATATCTGGACAAGGGGTGTTTTTGCTAACAACATGAGAAAAGGTGAAAAATTAAAACTTAAAAAAAAACTACATTAAAAGTCTTCTTAAGATGGTGTGTTAGTGGTTTGTTACCCTTACATAGATTGAAAAAAAAAAAAAAAAGCAATTCTCATGAGGCATCTACTGCTTGGGGTTGGGATTCCATGAAGTAACTCTGTTTCTTAACACACATGTGCATCTGTGAAAAAGGATATTTGTGTATCCAAAGAGATAATAATAGCAGATAACAGATTCACTTTCATACTAAAAGCCAAAAGACAAATTAAATATTAAAAAACACGTTGAGTAATGAATAAAATAATTAAAAGTTCATTTTGACAGTATTCTAATACATTCTTTACAACATTAAAGTATTTTTTTGCTAAGAAAAATACAAATTCAAAGTCTTTACATATTCTATGCATTTCTCAATGAAAACTTCAGCCTTTGCCAGTAGGCACAGAATCAGTTTAGTTTTGCAGTTGAGAACAAAAAAGTTAATAGGCTTCTAGCTGTATTTGAGTGATATGGATGCAGCCCTTATAATAAACAGCAAATCTCTGTAATGTCATAATCAAGTGTGTTGCAATATATTGTTAGCTACTGCCTCCAGATAGAAGATGCTGAAGAACAATTTGTATTTTTCCCTTTTGATTAGATTGTGCTGTGATGCAAGCTTTTTATAAATAAATAAATAAATATTTAAAATTTCATAGTATTTTGTAAAAGAACTGAACAGAACAAAACAAAACAGAAAAACCTACCACAGCATTCATGCTGCAGCAAACAAACATATCATCTTCCACAGGCTTCCCAACAACTTTGCTGCCATTAGCTTGGTTTGAATAATTACTGTTATTTTAGTAAACACTTCACATTCCGACTACTTAATATACTATTCACTGCAAATGGTTCCTTTCAGCTCTTGTAAAGTCAGTATCAATACTCAGCAACTACTTGGAATTCAGTTTTACTTGAAGAATGATTTTGTATTTTCTTCTATACATTAATTTCTCTATCTGTCCTTTTCACCACAATATTTTTGTATGAAAAAGAGCATGTGCTGATTTGGGGGTTTCTCATAAATTAATTTACACAGTTCTCAGAATTTTGAAAGAGAGTCTGTAGTCTGAGATCCTAATGATTCCCAAATTAGGATTGCATTTCCAGTGTGGTAAAATGCATTAGAACTGGGGTTTACAAAATGACAGAAGGTTCATCTTTCTACTAGACTTGAGATACCTTTTTTTTCTCCCCTTGACCTGAAGTGTTTCAAAGTTATCATACCTGTATCCTCCAGGGAAAGCAAAGCATCACATTATTCTGTGCAAAGCTCATAGGGCATTTGGATCAATACCTCAGCACATTAGACAGCTTTCCAGTGCCAGCTTTTATCTTTCAACATGTTTCCTTTCAAAATTATTTTATTTTTCCCTCCACCCTGCTTTATTTTCTCCAAACTGACATTCTTTGTCAGTGCTTGCCTCTACTCTGCCGTACCTTCTGCAATCATAATATACTTTATGGCCTGGTTGCACACATATCAGGATTGGGAAATTTTGAAGAGAAATTTTGTTCCCATGGATTTACGAATGCAGATCTAGGATTATTTTAATTCTTACATTTTCTTTCTGCCACCTCCAGCTGTTCACACTGAATTGCAATAGTGAATGATATTTGATCTTTGTTTTTTTATTTTTTTTCCTTCTCCACTTCTCAAAAAAAATGCAGTTTCCATTCCTCTGGCATATCTGTAGTGTTTCCAGCTTTGTGGAAGTGAAAACATGGGATCAAGAGAGGAGGAGGGTTTGAGCACTCCTAAATGTCTATCTAGCACCAACTGAGAGCAACTATGAACTCCTTGCTTACAAATCCCTTGCCTCCCCAGCCATAAATCTAACTGTGGCTGTGAAAAAAGATTGAACCCTGCTTCAGAAAGGCTCATTTTCAATAGTACTGGATATTTATTTATAAATTTTGCATGTTAGCAAATACTTCAAGAGCCATATGTAAACACATGGAATGGGAATATTTTGGGGGAAGTGTGGAATGATCCCAAGTGGAAAATTTCACACCTTTCCCAAGCTCTGATGGAGGCTTCCAGCTCAACATGAGACCAAGTTATTTCCTCCAACTCAGACCACAACATTTTGCGTGCATTCAAAAAATAGTTACTGACCTTCTTTGACTACAGTTTTCAGAATATAACTTTTTAAAATATCAAATACCAAACACTGAAACATGCCTACCTATTTCAATATTCTCTTCTTGCACACCAGGGGAGATCAAACAAGTCAAGTATCCTAGACTGGCAGTACAGTTTCAGGGAACTGTTTTGATATTCCAGACGTGGACATTATTTTTTGGTGGGGATTTATTTTTGGTGAGGCTTTTTGCTCTCCTTGGATAGGTTATAAGTAAAGAAACATGGGAGCCGTCTGTTTGTGGATATTTGAATAATAACCCAAATGTAAGTCTCTACAGGCCTATCTCTAGAAAGATAAATTCATTTT